CCGTGTGAATAGTAACATTTTGATCAAAGGCAAAATATCAAACACTTGGCTACACGAAGTCACCGGTACCATAGACGTCTCAAATAAGACTTACGAATTTCGGGAACGGAAGTTATCTTTTGCAACCAACGCTTCGAAGCCAACTTCTCAAAGGGCGACTTTCCAACCTGGAAGAAACAAAGTTAATGTAATTTTTTGGTAGAACCGACTTCTCCATTCAAGCACTGGATGCGTGCACTCAATTTGTGCAACATTATACCATTTTGCAAAAAAAAAACTGTTTTGGAAAATCGAATGAAAACATGAATTCAATGAAATAAACGTTCAAGGAAGCATGGTATGTAAAAATGCACAAGTAAATGACAAGTAAATGTGGCCATGATTTCACGTTTGCCAAGTGAATTGATAAATTAATGATATACTCAATCATTAGTATACCCTTAACTTGTCACTCCTGTGTTGTTCCCTTTGCTTCCAGTCGGGACTGCAGTCCATGGAACTGAGGGGAACCTTAAATTGGCGCCACCTTCGCGAAAACCCCTGATTCATCACATCTCCCACGCCAGAGAACTGATCCTTCGACTGTTCCCGTTCTTGAAGACGCTGGAAATAAGCCTTCGAAATACCCTCATCGTTGGAAGAGGAGGAGATGAGTGTGAGGTTGTGCGATCGTCCGAGAGACTTGCTTCTACGCATGAGAGAAACCCTTGAGTTGGTATACTGACGTGAAGGGGAGGATCGATGCCATCGGCAGACATGGCGACCCCTTCGATGGGACTCTTCAGTCCTTAGGTCGAGAGTTGATTTTGTGGAGGCGAAAAGTGGTTGATGTAAAGAGTTTTGCTGCCGTTCTGACTCCGTACTTTCGGTGGAATTGGGTATACGAGTCAGGTTCTCTCTACCCTCAAAACAGTCGTTCTCATCAGACATGGAACGCGTAGCCCGAAGGTGACGTCCAGATCGGCTGCGACGGGGATAGTACTGTGGATGGGTAGTTTCGAGAGTGCTAGCCGGAATTTCCATATTGTAGCGTTGACGGTAGTTATGGTAGCTGTGTGCATGAAACATATCCCCCCGTGGATGTCGGCCATGATATGTGGAGGGCCGGTTGTCAGTTGACCAAGTTTCGTAGAGGCATTGTGATTGATGCTGTTGATACGGATCCACCAAATCACTGTACTTGTGTTTCTGCATCTGACGCTCACGAAGCAAGGCCTATAAAGGCGTTTTAACTGTCGTCATAGCAAAGAGAATCCATCATTTTCAGGATTCCTATTCGACGAACATATTTTAAGGCGGTTCTAATGTCTTAGTGTTTTGACCTCATCTTTGTGACTAATCTAGATTTCTGAGAAAGTGTTATCTAATCATGCGTTTTATTTA